ATATGCCTGTTGATAGAGAACTTGACCTTTGACCTGCTTTCACGTTTCTGAGCTCTGACGAGATACCTTTTCACAATGCTTTACTTTTTCAAGGCCCATGCTGCTTTATTTTTACAAGGCCTGAGGCCTATATCGGGTAAAGGCCCTTTTATTGAGAGGGAAGATATGGTAAGGGAACAATGTACCTGGAGATAGCTGCCCCCAACCACAGATTTCTTACCACTTGAGCCGACGTGCATTTTGATGACCAGTCATAGCCTCAGTACCACAAACAACACAATGCTGTGCCACCTCAGCCAAAATGCCATGTCAGCATGCTCTCATCATTCCACACACACCCGCTGTCGCCACAACTCTCCAGCTGTCGCCACAGCCTTCCAGCCCCTCACCCCTCTACCTGGGTGGAGCTAATCAAGCCAGCGCCAAGGTATCCTCACTGCATAGAAGCTTCGTCCACGCACCAAGTAACCAAGACACCAGCGCCAGAATGGCGATATTCGAACCAGAATGGCGATATTCGAACCAGCTCTGATACCAAATTGCAAGGAATATGAGCAAGAGCGATATACAGAAAACCAAGTTGCGAAATCACGCAGATGCCCAAGTAGTCATGTACGAGCAGAGAGTGCAAATGCATCGAGATTCCATTCAGATAAAAGCAATACGACTCACGAGCCAATGTCCAAGCCCTCAGGCCACACCAACACCGTATCCAATGTCGCTCCTACTCTGTCTGACGCCCAGCGCCCAGCCTACACTACTCGCCTATCCTACAACACCAGCGTTCACGCAACAGGCTCACTTCGACCTTGAAGACTGACGTCAACACCATAGCTGACCTTCCTCATGCATCAGGTATGTATCTCGTCTCTCCTCATCACCCCTGACTTCCCACAGTGTGCATTCTCAACACCCAAAGACCACCATCGCCATCCAGACCTGCGCCCAGCAGCCCGGCTATGGCTGCCGTGCACCCACTGCCCAGCAGTGCACCTCACACCTCAGCGCCCGTGTGCGCGACCCAGCCAGCAGGTGCAACACAACAGTGTGGCCGCATTGCCTGCCTAGGCCAGAATGACCTGCCCAGCGATGCTCCCAGCGATGCTCACTTTCCTATATGGAAATTGAGCTCAGCCTCTGCTGCCTCTGGGCCTGGCTGGGCGAGCATCCAGTAGCTTCCAGTCGGGCCTCAGTGTCTGCGTCCAGGCCCAGTTGCAGTTACGGGCCTGGGCCCTTTACAGTTGGCCACGTCCAGGCAGTCCACGGGCCTCCACATGTTCGCTGTGATCTCATTGGCTCACGGCCACTTTGTGCCGACTATGCTGCAATCTCGTTGGTCCGTGGCTGTTGTATGATGTGTCGGCCTCCGAAAGCACACGGCAAGGGCCTTCACTGTACGGGGCCCTGGGCTCAACTGCCCGTCGGGGCTGCAACTTCCGGAAAGAGCCTGGAGAGGCTCACGTTGCTCTGTAACCAACTGGCATGCTGCAACTGTCTGATACCCACATATGGAAAAATGTCAAATCTTGGCCTCTTGTGAATATTCAGGCCCACCTTCACTTAGGGCGGGCACAGGGCTTGCCAAGGGCCTCTGCCCAGAACATGTGCATGTCTGTTAAGGGCCCCGCAAGGGCTCATTCCCCGCACATATACAACCCCTTTTGGGTGATCACACTGGCCTGTACCCAGGCCTTGGCACATATTGGCCGGCCCGCCTTCACTTAGGGTGGGCAAGGCCTTTCCCAACACTGCCGAGGGGTCAAATCCTCGCAATATGTTGTGTAAAATTGCAATACAAACCACTTTTGGCTGAGGGCCACCTCAAAATTCCTTGTTAATTTTAAGATTAAAAATGAATGAGAAAACATGAGTCCGTACCCTTTTAACCCCTTTAGTCACTGTTTATACCCCCCAAACCCCTCTGGATGACCCATCTCACCGAAACCGGAGTTAAGACCCAATTCTGACTGCTTAGGCCAAGCGCAGTCCTGGCCTGGAGTCCTTTTATTTTTTTTGAGATCCTTGGATTCCTTGCCTCTTTTTTTACCCGTCTGGTTTTGCCGGGCGATCCCCCCTCTGCCCAACTGGCCCGGGCATGTGCCAGGCCGGGAGGCGGCCCAACATAGTTTCAATGTACTTTTGCAGATTTTTTTGAAATTTTCAAATTTTCTCATAAAGTACAAATTTAACAAAAATTAGTAATTATATATAATTACTAATTACCATACTTGCGGCACATCGCCGTGCACTGCACCGCGCACAGCGCACGACGCGCGCGCACGGAGTGCGGCGCACCCCGAAAATAAGGGGTCGAGAAAAAAAAAATTGGGGAGGGGTGTTTTAGACCCGAGTGGGATGTCGCGTCATAAACCACAAAAAAATATTAACAAAAATTTGAGGCCA